ATCACAGAGAAAATATTTCATGCAACTCAGGGGGGGATTAATTTAGGCACAATATTACCTTCGGTCTGTCGTTGTAAACCCCAGTTCTTTAAATTTTTGCCTCAAATCTTATGCAAATTTGTTTCATTTATAGTCAATTTCATCCAATTTTGCCATTCAATACATTACTACAAACTTAAGTTTCTTTCAAAAACAATTCTTACAAACACAAAGAAATTTGTCAAATTTTAACTTCCATTACTACTCCCAAGGGGAGATGCATGGCTTTTCAGGGGAGGTGCAAAACGATCTCAGGGGAGGTGCGCATCTGCCCCGACCTTCCCTCAAAATCCAGCCATGCCAACAATGCCAAAGCCAATAAGGCCAATGGAATTAAAAGATCAGTTTACCGTCACCCGCCCGCATGTGTTCTTGGCAGCCGTGTGAAATTTTCATTACTTATTTCAATATTTTTTCATTACTTGTCAAATTTGTATAGCAAGTGTTTCAAAAATGGTTTTCTGTTGAAATTTTTGGCAAATACTGAGTTTGTTTATACAGTTAGCGAAACCACGGCGAAACAGAGTCAAGGACATCTATAGCTGATAGCTTGGATTTTTTGGGTAGAAATTTGAATTTTTAGCCCAAAATTTGACAAATTCAAATCGTGAAAAATAATGAATGAAAAAAATCCGCATCAACTTTTGAAATTTCAGGTGACGGTAAACTGATACCTTAATTCCATCCATTACTATATTCCAGGGCTGCAAATAAATATTTGACTTGACAGGACATTTGTCCGATCACTTTTAATCAAGACAAACTTGTATGTATGCCATTCCGGCGCAACGTTAAGTAAAATTAAATGCTAGAATGCCTCGTAAATTTTATTGCAAAATGCAAATTGAGTGAATTTGCAATCGGATTTTGTCACAGCAAAAAATGTATAATGACAATTTTTTTGTGATCGGACCAATGTCCGATCAAAATTACTTTTGCTCGGACATTTGCCAAATTTAGTCGGACATTGTCCGATGTCCGACAGTAATTTGCAGCCCTGATATTCCAATTGTGAAAGAAAATGAAACAAGAAAGCTCCATAATTTTGGCTTCAATAACTGAACAAATTTATTATTCACTGCTGAATAACATTTTTATCAACTAGGGTACCTGCAAGGTAGGGATTGCTGCGGGCATTAAAAGCAAATAGAACTACAGTAAACAGCACAAATTATATCAAGCACAGTGATTACTCGCAGCGACTAGTGAGCTGTGAATGGAACTGAGAAGAAGCAATATATATTGAAGATTTGAAGTAGCAAAGACCAGGGGTTAAAGGGCAATCAGAGGTGACAGATATTAAACATGTGCGTCTCATTGACATACAGTTAAGATCAGATTTCATATCAAGTCTGTTTACTGTAGAGTGGATCGATATACCGGATATATCCGGCATACCGGTATTTGTTTAGATACCGGTATGGCGATATTGACAATTTAAAAATACCGATATACCGACATTTCGGTATTTTGCTGCCTAATACCGAATTGAAACGCTATTTCAAGTCAAACTTGCTTACAATCACGTTTAGAAAGCAAAGTTAATACTCACAGATGGACATTTTGTTCTTACAGTTCTAGCAGCTTTGGTTTAGCAATACCAAGACGTCTTGTTTATTAAATCGCCTTAATCGGAAATATATAAATGGCAAAATTTTTTAAGGAAAATTTTGATATAAAAGAAACCTTTGATTTTGGAAAGTGGAAGTACTAGCATTTGCGAAGCAGCGAAAACCTTTTCAAGTTTTTTTGGAAATATTTATCGGGCAGTATAAGAAGGTAACTACAGTATAAGAGGGTAATAACAGTATGTGCCACATTAATATTTTGTCAAAACTTGATTTTTCTCGACGGTCAGCAGTTCAGTTTGGCTTAAAAAAAACACGTTAAAAATACCGGAATACCGGTATTTACCGGTATTCTGATGGCGGTATATCGGTACTCGGTATTTGCGATATCGATCCACTCTAGTTTACTGCTATATAGGCGCATTTACCACATTATATAGACTATATATACACAGATTTATCACACTAAGAAACCAAAACTTTATAAAAATATAGAACTGACAGTGGCCAAAGTCCAAAACAAATGTAAGCGTAACATTAGACTTGAAAAAGCTGTAGAAATTCGATAAAAATTCGAAGACTCGAGCGAGTTTAAAATTTGTGTTCTGCGGATAGAAAGCGCGCACGACCACAATTCCATGCGCTAAATAAAATTTAGTTCAAAACCCCCTCTCTGCACATATTAGGCTGTTGCTACGCTCGCTCGCTTCAGGCTCGCTCGCTCCGCAGCAACTACTCAGAGCTGTTGCCAGGAGACAGTCAAATTTCAATGTCATACACTTTCACCCAATCATATGTAATATTATGCAGTCAACACACCCTTGCTAATAAATTTGCTAAATAAAGTGTTGCTATAAACATACAATTTATATGAGGTGTTTATTAGATAATAAATAGCAAGCAAAATTGAAAATATCAGAACCTTGCACATTACTATCTATACAAATTTTTCGTATAAAATGCACCACCATGAGACAAATGTCAACAATACTTGAACGTATAATTTATATCACTGTGGCATAATTATTTCGCTCCTCAGAAGTTGAACACTAAACCATTTTATGTGGTGACATTAAGCATATCAGCAGAATTTTACACTTTATACATCTACTGCGATATATAACAGAAACTTAAAACACTAAATAACAGAAATACAGAATAAACTCACCTCTAGCGGCTTGTACATCAACTAAATTTCTTCAGATACAACTTGCCCCATTTCAAAGGAATTTGAAAGATCGAAAGTTTGATCGTGCTAAATATCATACGTCAAAAGTTGACGTGAAAACAATACGGCCATTTCCGATCAAGTGAAACATGCAGAACGTTACGTCATGTTGGGTGAAATATTGTGTGTCAGGGGTGTGGGCGGGAGGGGGTCATGAAGCAACTCTGCATTTCATAAAAGAAGAACGACAGGAAAACGTTCGGCACAATGTACGCATCATAGGTTCATATAGCACCCATATTTTTCTCAAAAACCTTTTTGCATAGATTAAAACAATTGCTCAATTAAAGGTGGCTCGATACAGTTTTGTGTATCGTAAATTGTTCAGCAGTTTGACATTTTTGAGCCCGATATTTTTGGTTTTTTGCGAAGGAGATATCGGGATGCTCAATTTTTTTAATATTTCTTCTCTCAAATTATGTTGGTTTTGGCAACACATAGTTGGTACAGCAACACACGCGCACCGAATTCACTCTAAAATAGCCATCGCTTCGAATACTTGAAAAAGCACAGTGACCCCTTTCGTGTATTATTTTGCTTAGAACATAAACTAACAATAGGAAAAATATTAATAACTTACTGACCGAGAGTGAGGGCAGTACGGGAAAATATCCAACCGAGGTCTTGCTGTATTGACCGAGCGATAGCGAGGTCAATACAGCAAGACCGAGGTTGGATATTTTTCCCGTACTGCCCGAACGGTTGAGGTCAGTAAGTTTTTTATTATATGGCATTGTACGTTTGTAAAAAATGGGGGGAAAAGGTCACGCGAAGGCAAAGTACAAAGTCCGAAACATTTGCAAAAAAGAACAATTGTAAAAAATGTTCTCACGCTTGGTTAGTAAAACTACTCTACAGCACTTTTTATATAGAATACTAACACAGTTGGATAGTATTTCAAGAAAAATACGAGGTATTTCGTCATTTAATCAAAGACAAAGACAACAAATATGAAAACAATAAAATAAATAAACAGTATGGACAAATACGTTTTTAGTTCGCTTCATCTCATAAATATGTCTCTTAATTTTATTGAAAACCCCCAGAAATTTTCAGGAAAAAAATATAAATCTGTAGCTGCTTTAGTTGTATTTTTTTATTTAGGATGGTGTCAAATTCCTCGGCTATCGGCAAATAAGATTTGCAGCTCTTCACAAAGTCAAAACACAGCTATTCCTGACTTCTTTAATAGTTATAAACATTGTAAAATTTCGACTTTCGCTAACAAAAACATATTGAGAAAGTTCTTTAACCAAAGACGGTGCTCCTTTTCTTTAGTTTAGGTTTATTTTTCTTCGTTTTGAATAGTTGTCGCAGGGCAATAAAAATTGCGTATTGCCCGTAGGCAATACGGGAAAATCCTGCCTCGTCAGGAGCCAATCAAATTGCATGCGCGATTCATCAAAACAAATGCTTGCCATATAATAAAAAGGAATACTGTTATGCCAATGTATTGGTTCGATATTTTATGACCATTGCGCCAATGCGCCACCTAATTGACCAAATAGTACAACACACAGTGTTGCGACATGGTGTGACTCACCACGTCAGCTTCAATGGTCAACTCATTTTAGACTACATTTCATATCGTTTTAGCCATTTATCATGTCATCCAGAGTGTCATCTTTAAAGATGCTGTAAAGTCCGTTCTGCGCATATATTCTGCGCATCAACACATTCCATCAGTGGGGGAGCAACCTTTGGAATGTTGTTAATAGATAGCTTAAGATCTACGACGTCGACGTCAGCTAGGACGTCAGGGCTAAGCAGAGGACTGGGACTACATTAGGACGACATCCTAGTCCCAGTCCTCCGTATAGCCCTGACGTCCTAGCTTTCGTCGACGTCGTAGATCTTAAGCTACCTAATATTTCGCACCTTCCGAACTTACTTGAGTGAATCTCTAGTCTGTATTCATTTACAAGCATAACGAACCAGAAGAGTGTTAAAAATTCAGTATAATATATATCTAATCATATTTTACAAGTGTAGCACTGAGTTCAAAATGTAAACAAAGCGTTTGTTTACATTACGGACTTTACATCACCTTTAAACCGTTATTAGCAATTGGTTTGTGTCTGAAGTCTGACGGATATTCCTGTTTCTTAAATTTTTTATTCCTGTTTTTAAGGAATGGTGTTTAAAAAATTCCTTTAAAATTTCCTTGCAAACTTCGTTGCCGCAGATCAAAAATATACTAGTTATTTAGTCTGTGGCGTTGTGGTCATTAAATCGCTTAAAGATTGATCGCCGTTTTAGCTGCTGTTAAACAGGTAATGTTGTAGTATATTCAAAGCTATGATGTCTTTGTATAGGAAATTACACCGTTCCAACTTCCGAACTTCGAGAAGTATATCGCACCCGTGTTGGGCGAAATATTTATACGTAATACCCCGATAATACCGTGATTTTTCATGAATACTTCGAGAACAAGTGTAATTTCCTATTAATATAATTTTATAGTCAATTTTAGACGAATAATCAATGACAATAATGTATGGTATCAACGAGCACAGTTAATTCCTTTGTCAATTTTGAGCGGAGTAATTTCTGGTATTAATTTTCAATTCATATATTTAAAAACTGTAAATAATCTTTATTTCTCCTTTGTCTTCTTTATTTGAGCATAAGTACGAGCGCAGAGCCCAGAAAATATAATTTTGTTACGCTATTTATTTATATTTTTTCAAATTTCTACGCTCACGTGACGTGACGGGGATGATGACACTTCACTTCCCAGCGCCCAGAATTCCTTAGATTTTCGGTAAAAAATCCTCAGATTCAGTTAAATTTCCTTAAACCCACGTTTAAGGAAATTTAACTGAATCTGAGGATTTTTTACCGAAAATCTAAGGAATTCTGGGCGCTGGGAAGTGTCATAGATATCTGGCATAGATATCTTATATGCACTAGATAGTGCATCTAATTATTCTGCAATTCAAAAATTGAAGCCGTGATTGCAGACTCAGGATATTCCCATGAAATGAGAAGACTCGTATGTTTTCTATTTCTTAAACAGGGAATTTAACATTAAGTTAAACCTATTCCAAATACATTTTCAAACTATTCAAATGATCAAAGTTATTGTTGTTTTTTAATTTAAGCGTTTATTAGCGAGTGGGAAACTCCAGCAAGCTGCTCCATTTACTGTTCGGATTACTCCGGATTTGTGGAACACTAATGGAATGGAACAGAAGACAGTCACATGACTGTTCTGAACTGTTCTGACTACCCCGATTTTCGAGTAGGGGCAGCCAGATTACAGACACGTGACACTGCCCATTTTCACGTGATTGGAAATAGGCGACATATTTTGTGTATCCAATGCACACTTTATAGAGCGTTATCTTGAAGGGTTAACCGCTATATTTCGACATATACTTATTATATTATATTTCACCGCCAGGGTTGGGCAAAATCAACGAGTAAAAACGTAGCAAAAGCATACTTAGATGTACAAATAACAGCGAATCATTATACGCTTTATTATGCGAGTAACTAGTTAATATAGTAATGCTGCATGTATAATAAACTAAACACTGTTCTGGAACACCGTGTGCACTCCATTTTATATCGTTCCAGAACAGTGTTCCAAATGTTCTAGAACAGTAAATGGAGCAGCCTGCAGCATGGCCGCCATCTATTCAAATGGGGGTAACCGCTGGAATATTCTTGGCTTCAATTTTACTAAAAGAGATGCGCTATCTAGTGTATATAAGATATCTACATGTATGGGGTCAGGCCTGTTTTTTGGCATGGTGATTCGTGACCTTTTGATCTTGAGAATTACAAAGTTTGTATGGTGTGAGAAAAACTTTTCTAAACCTAAATTTTGCAGATATTGGTCCCCTTTTTTATTGATATTGACCCTTTTTTTTAATGTCCGGAAAAAATGTTCCCCCCCCCCCCAATAAAAATTTGCCCGGGGCCCCCGAATTTCTCTGATAGGCCCTGTTTGTATCATTTGGGAATTGGGATTTTGAGCAGTCTCATCCACATGCACAGGCATCTCAAGCTTACATGTGGCTGGGGTATATTTGTATTTTTATATTAGCTTACTATGACAAAATATATATTGTCAAGATTAATGCTAAAATATTGTATAAGGTTGATTACCAACAACAAGGTTGATTACCACTACTACAATGTGTAATTAACTTTTCTGGGGTGATTTTCAATCCGCTTGAGATACGTATGACGTATTATTCTTACTACGCAGAAATAATAGAGAAGGCAGGTTACTTCCGCTCCAATTATCCCAAATTAGTCGCATCGACTTCACAAATCGTTCTGGTGTCGCTAAATAACGCATCAAATTGCCAAACAAAACAACACATTCGTAAAACCCTGCAAATTCTCTATGGCTATAACATACATCGTCTTCAGCAATCACAAGCCTCCCAATCATCCCCACGTGATTATTTTCTAAGTATCGTCAATAAGGATAGGTTTGTGATTGCGTTCAAGATCAAAGAGAAATATATTTGTGCACGAAACATGGGAAACAATCTTCATGTGCGCCTGTCATGGCCATGTAAAACAGGCAAACTGGGGCATAAGTGCAATTATTATACCTGGTGTCCCAAAAAAAAGTACTCCTGTTTGATTTATAATAACTTCTAAACAAGTAAAGCTATCAAACAGAAATAACTTGCATTACATATAGGAAGGACCAACTTAGATTTTGATATATTACAGTTGTATTTTACTTACAAATTCACCGAGATATTAATGTTCAAAATCGGGAGCATATTTTGGAATGTGTCTAAAATTAGCGAAAATCGGCATATCAAATATAACTCCAGCGTTTGTTTGTTTAATGACATATCAGGCTAACTTGTATTTCAACGAATTGTCGTTAGGGTTGGTATAAGGGATATGGCGTAGATTTAGACATCTTAACATGCATGTAAGTCTTAGCTCATGTCATTGTTTCCTGAAATATGAATGTTCGAAATTATGCAAGTATTTTAAAATAGGTCTTTAGCCTACAAACTTAAAGGTAGGCCTACATGAAAGACCACTAATTAGGCAGGCGCTTAAATTTTTCTTAAATTAAATAGCCTAATTTTTTTATGTTTTTCATGGGTTAAAAACAGAGTTGATTATTTCTCGGTTAGAGCAGGATGAATAATATTCTTATTATGAAGGAAATAATATTGCTTTTTGCAAATACACATCACAGTATCGACGCTACTATTTTGTAAAGTTTTGTTTCAAAAATGTTGGATGTCTCTGGGGAGTTGCTTGTTATGACTTATGGAGTTGTATGGTTTGCTTGTGTTTCATTCTCAGTTTATTCTGAACTTAACAAGATAAACAAGATTAAGAAAAGGCAAAAGAGTTTGAGTTTTCTTAAAAAGATTTCAGAACTTCGAAGAAGTTAGAAGAGCTTCACAATTCTATTGTGACAGCATGCCCTAATTCAGAACTACGAACGCGGATATTCATGACGATCCTTCGCGATGCAGTGGACTCATAAAATACGGAAACGTATTCGTGCTAGGAACACATGCACACGGATTTCGGACAAATAAATCTTGCTTGTATTTTGTAGATAATAATATACTTTGTTTCATAATAAACAATTTGTCAAATGTCATTTATTTACTGGTAAAATAGTGCATGTTTCAGTCGGGCAAATGTTGACTAATATTTGATACGCCGTTTTTTGCATATTTCAGACACATCCAGAAATATGCTTCCGATTTTAAACATTAATATCTCCGTTAATTTTTAAGTGGAATACAACTCTAATATATCAAAATCTAAGTTAGTCCTTCCTCTATTTGATGCAAGTTATTTCTCTTTAAAAGCTTTAATTGTTTCGAAGTTATTACGAATCAAACCGGAGTACTTTTTTTTGGGACACACGGTACATTTAATATGTATTCTCGTTTCTAATTGGTCGGCATTTATTACGTATTTTCCGCCGATGATGTCATCAGCGTCCAATAATTGTTTTTTGGGATCGAACTTGCATCCAAAAAAAAATTATTGGACTCTCTCGTGCCCAAATCCTTGCGCGGCCAAAAGCTTGAACCTATAAGCGCGCGAAAAAACAACAAAAACAATGGCCTACAGTAGATTTGCTTCGCTGAATGAAAGTGAACTCTCCATATTATTGGCAGATAAGGATAGTGAAAGCACGAAAAAAGCCACAAAGGGGTAAATAGAAGTAGAAATATAATATTTTGCTGACCTTTGACTTTGTGCAAGGTGTTTGATATTCAAATTGTACTATTCCTACCTCATGAACAGGAATCGTTTTATACGTTTCTCATATCTTTAAATGTATAATAAAACAATTATTGGATTCGGCTTTCGCATGATATCAAGAATTATTCAGACCTCGGTCTATGTTATCCGCCTCAGCTTCGCTTCGGCATATAACATTGACCTCTGTCTGAATAATTCTTGATATCATGCTCAGCGTCATCCAATAATTGCTTATTAACAGTAAAGTCTTTTTGTCCCAACTTCTCGTTTAATATTTTAGATTAACTCCAGAAAAATGGGTGCGGATACTTCACTTCCTCTAACAGCTGTCAAACCTGGCTTCTCCATGATGAGCATAACATTCCGAGATGGTGACCGCATGACTGTGCTGCACCTGGATGGCGCGGGATTATCTGCAGTTGCACAAGCTATTAAGGACACTTGGAAGCCAGGTATTCAGGCTGAGCAATCAAGATGCGGTACTGGCTGGTCGTTTAAGCTTAACGGTTACCCATTTAGCTCATCCAACTCTAAAACGTCCCAACAATCTCGGCAAACGTTATTGCAAATTTTGCAAAACTTGCACGGAATAGGCTACCAGGTATTGGCTTCGGGTACTCTTGGAACAGTGAAGGATAGAAGCACACTCTTTTTTAAGAAATCGCCATCCAATGTCCTCACACCTCAATTTCTCTGTGTCGGCTTCAGCGACTCCGACAAAATTCAATTTAGGAATCTACCCTCACAACTTATGGATCCGATCAAAGACACTATCAGAACATCATGGACTATGGGAATTCAAAGCGTCGATGAAGAAAATGGTGTCTTGCAGTTTAAGCTAGCTGGTACGCCATGGACTGCCACCAATAACGAACAAAGCATTCTGTCCAAAATTCTACTCCAGGTTGTCTTTGCTACACTTCATCGTTTCCAGTGGATTTATCATGTAAATGTAAACCTTAACCGCGGTCAAGATTGCCTAATCTTTCGTCACGACTCTGAGGTCAACACCTATGAAGTTCCTCAATTTTGTATGATGAGCTTCGGCCATGGTGATCGCTTGCGCCTCATCAATGCATCGGACGATGTCATCAATATGATTCGGAAAATTGTTGAGGTCAATTGGAGTCCGGGTCGAATTCAAGACGAGAGAGAATTTCATGGTAGTCACGAGTTTAAAATATCTGGTCATCCATGGAGCTCGGTACGAGAAGAATCAGCGAGAGCTCGGTATCTGATTCTCCAAATATTCCAGGAAATGTTGCAATACGGTTGGCATAATGTTGCCGGGTTTTACCTAAACTGCGTTTCCACGGATAGAGTTGTATTGTTGTTTGAAAAACGAGAACCAGTGAACTATCCAATGTTTTGTATAGCCCCACACGATGAAGACAAGTTTTGGCTGATTAACATGCCGGCAGAATTAGTCTCACTTTTCAAGCATATTTTGCTGTCTCGTTGGTCAAATGGAATCCAATCTGAAAACGTGCTATCTCTGCATTTTGGAACTGTGTACAAATTGAAATTATCTGGCACGCCGTGGTCGGGGGGTGAGAGGAATTCTCCAATCCATGCTCGAAGCTTTCTTTGTGGTATTATTGACGAGTTTTCCAAACTTGGCTGGCAGCTTATACTTTGTGCCGACGTGACATCAAGGATAGGAGCTGACAGTGATGGTCCGGATTACCCATTAGATGTGTATTCGTTTTGGTTTGCTTATAACCCCACATCCGCAATTCCACAACCATCTGCCCCAGTTTATGAATTTCCTGCCCACTCACAGCAGTATGGTGTTGCGATGGGAGGGTCCCCATACCCACCTTCAGGTTATACCCAGAATTCTGGCTATGGTATGGCTGGAGCACCACCCCCAGTATTTAATGACCCACCACCAACATACACTGAAGCAACGGGATGGAATTTAAATGATGCAAAGAAATGACAATTTACCGAGCGTATAACTAGTATACATAAAACTTTATTTAATGTTGATTTAAAACTTTAAACACTCCCTGTCACAGGGTTCAACAGTGGAGTACCTTATCCCAGTCTCTTTATCGACTTGTATTACGTTTATATATATTATACAAATACACAGATTGAATATTTGTTGTCTGAATAGAAAGCCAAGCTCCTGACTTGTCAATGTGCTATGTTCTCATTCTTCTGAAATATAGAGGTTTGCCGATCCACGCCTCAAAAATACAGTTTACTTAACCAAGGTAAATTTGACCAAGACAAAATGAAATTTATTCGAGTTAGGGAGGAGTTCGAGTTAACTCGAGTAAATTGCTATAAAAATTGAATCAAATCCAGGGGGAATTGGATCCAGTTCGAGTTAGCGGGATTCTACTGTACGTATTTTCTCGAGTAAGAGAATCAATCTTGATTGACGCGGCTTAAATATATCCGCGAACATTGCTAAGCGAATTTCGCATAAGTGCATGAACCCATGCACTATCATAGAGCTCAGTATTATAAAAAAAATGCGCAGTTCTAAAACGTCCACCACACTAAAAATACGCAAAATTTGGGGCAACTTTGTTTTGGTCTGGGTAATGTATTTTGTGGATTGTACATTTTCGGGTGCAGCCGGGTTGCTTTCAAAAAACACTTTTAAAGATGGCTTGCGCACAGAACTGTAAGGTTGAAAACGCAGTTTTAAGTCAGTAGGACGCAAATTTGTCAGGTGTTTAATGAACTATCAAAATACCAGAGAATTTGATGAACATTAAGTCCTACGCGAGACCTCTAAAACTTGGACTTTTTGCCACTGACAGTAGCCTTTCACGCAAAATTTATCACTCATATGACTAATTTTAAGCATGATTTCTTACATGCATGCTCTTTGCAAAACTTTAAAAAGTATGCGTGAAAGTCTACTGTGGTGCTAGCCATTTTTAAAGTCCAGGTTTTAGAAGTTGCGAGTTGGACTAAATTAAATTGTCTAGTATTTTGATAGTTCATAAACAACCTTCTACATTTGCACCTTATCAATTCAAGTGGCGTTTTAAGCCTTCCATTTTAGTGCACATTGTCAGCGCAAGCCATTTTTAAAGCAGTTTTAAAAAACAGCCCGGCTGCACTTCATAATAATTTGGTGATAGAGATACCAGAAGACCACAAACTACCCATACTAACATAAAATTGTGAAAAATGTTGCGGAATTTTCAGTTTAGTGGACACTTTATAATTGTGCACTTTTTTAGAGACCTTGTATATAGTAATATGCGTTTCAAACTGTTTTTTAATTATTTAATTAATTAATTATTTAATCAATTTTTTAAATTAAACATGGTAGCCATTCAGCGTTAGGAGCTGGTTTTCAATACACCGTGTCTCATACAACGGTATTAAAAATATTTACAAAGTCGTAAAAGCTTTCTGCATGCCTAGGACAGTTATAGTGGGGCTCAAATATGGAATCGGATACCGGAAGAGATAATAAGTTCGGTACTTATGATTTGGTTTGCATTTTGCAACAGGTTTTCTACCTCAACCTCGTAACCAGGCTCTTTTCCACCACGCGCCTCGCTGGAGGAAAGACCCTGGTCCAGGCTGGTCGCGTATCTTCCAGATTTTTGGAGTAACAAAATTTTTACATAAGGGTGGGGGGCTAAGTTTGTTTTACCAATCTAGTTGCCGATATCAATTCGATGAAGTTCAGAGTGTGTGTATTTTAATTAACAAATGCATGCAATTTTAACGAATAGCAAGAGCTTGTGTTGCGGCAAAATGGGTCGTGAGATGTCTTTCAGTCTTTGTATATGTAGGCCTATTCTCTGTGGGTTGCATTTGCGATGTCGCTACGCAAGATCTACATACTGGAGTCTTTCAGTAAAACCGCAAAGAATTACTGACATTACTAGGAAAGGATTTGTAATATACTCAAGGACAAGCAAAGAACATTTGCCTAGCAGCCAACAGCGAGTCCATTGTAAATTGCCGTAAATTTTAATCGTAAGTGGAACGGCTCGACAACACGACACATGCATATATAATAACAGTAAGAAAATATATTATAGTGTATAGACTATAGTGTGCACATGAGTATCGTTATGTCTATTTCCTCGTGTTTCAATAAGACAGTACTCATGAGGGGATTATATATATATATATATATATATATATATATATATATATATATATATCCAGCTCTGGTGCCGAGTTGTGTCGGACATGCATGCCGCCCGCCCATCAACTTGCTTCACTACTGCAAAGTCTTGCTTGACTACAGTATTTGAATTGTAATTGTTGTTTACAGTTCGCTTATCATCTTATTACTCAAATTACTGTATCTCATTTGTCTCTAATAATTTTTTGCTTTATCATGAAAAATAGCACCCCTCCTTCATTCCCTCTGGCCAGGGCTAGGGGGTTCACCCCCCCCTTCCCTGCATCCCCCCAGTAAATCCATCCCTGTGTTCTTGTCGATGTTTCGATATTTCTGAGCCTGCGATATTTTTTCATTTTGGTCAGCGGCATCATGAAAATGATACCAAAAAGCCTAAATAGGCGTAAATACTATAAAAGTAGTTCATTTTCTATGGCGCTATAATGGTCCACGGGCAGGATCGGAGTTTCTGGTGTAGTTTCTGCGAGTTTACGGTGTGGATTTATTGCCTCGAAAACGCTCACTTAAGTGTAATTTTATGTGCTTTGACGAATTGATCTTATATTTTATACTTTGACAGACAGACTCGTTTCGCTTTTTCGAATTTCTCAAATTTTGGCGGGAAAATGACGTCATCGTTTTGGCGCCAATATTTTGTTTAAGTGTTAAGACTTCCTTTGTTAATTTTTCTAAAATAAGAGGCTATATTATCTTCTAAACCGAAACAATAATTGAATTATCTTAATTCAATCAAGAGTTATAGAGGATGGAATTTTCAGATTTGGGCTATTTTGCTATTTTAAGTAACAAAATGGCCGAAATCTGAACGCTCCATCCGTTATAACTCTTGATCGAATAAAGATAATTCGATTATATTTTCGGTTTTGAAGTTTACACAACATATAACTTTTGAAAAATTAACTAAGGAAGTTTAACACTTAAACAAAATATTGGCGCCAAAAGGAAGACGTCATTTTCCCGCCAAAATTTAAAAATAATATTGGCGCCAAAAGGAAGACGTCATTTTCCCGCCAAAATTTAAAAATTCGAAAAAGTGAAACGAGAGCATTTCTTAGAATGAAAAGATCTGTCAAAGTATAAAATATAAGACCAGTTTGTCACAAAACATACAAAATCACACTTAAGTGAGCGTTTTCGACGCAATAAATCCCCACCGTAAACTCGCAGACTCGCAACTCGCAGACTCGCAACTCGCAGACTCGCAACTCGCAGACTCGCAACTCGCAGACTCGCAGACTCGCAACTCGCAGACTCGCAGACTCGCAACTCGCAGACTCGCAGACTCGCAACTCGCAAACTCGCAGACTCGCAACTCGCATATTAGACAAACTCGTAATGAAAGCAGACACCAATTGTCTATAGTTATGATAGCGATCATTGATAAAGAAATTATGTAACCTTACGAAATTATATAGACTTCTATTGGTTTCATTCAACTAATTTATATTAAAGCCCGGCGTACTTAATCGATAAAAACCGATCATCGGAAATCCAATCGATCAATTGATGGTAATCGATGTTAATTACTTAATTGATATCGATTGACATTCATCAATCGATGACCAATCGATAGTCACAAAAAGTTATAGTTAATTTTATCGATTATTATCGATATTCATCGATTTTCATCGATTATATTTATTGATTTTTGTCGACAAAATACTTTCGATTTTGATCGATTTATATCCTAAATAATCGCCGCGTGTCGGCGTGTTCGAGCTAAATAGTAAATCTGTTCTCATTTTTCGAATGAACACATGTATTTGATCTGTATTATAGCTAGATGAAAAACTTAATTTAATCCACTGTTACTGAATTCCGTTCACATTTGAGTTTGTTACGACATTAAAGTACGTATTAATTAAATTACGGCGTTACCTGTCTGATTGCTTGCATATTAACGGAGATTTTTTCATCAATGAAAATTAATAATAAATCGATGATCAATCGATGAAAGTCACAGCAAAAGAAGCCATCGATTTTTCATTGATTTCCAATATCAATCGATTGATAAATATCCATTGGTATTGATTGATATCGATATTCATCGATTTCATCGATTATCGATTTCATCGATTATCGATTTCATCGATTATCGATTTCATCGATTATCGATTTCATCGATTATCGATTATCGATTAAGTACGCCGGGATTAATGACACCAATGAAAATGCTAAATTGAGAAGTACATAAACATCAACATTAACAACTCGATATACACCTACAACGGCACACGTGGAAGAATCATTACTTTCATAGTTTCATAATAGTATTCTCAATTAGCCATTAGTCAATAATTTTCTTGTCAACTATTGCGAATCAGTTCGTTTCCACAGCGTATTAAATTATGAAACCCTTCAAATGCTTGCCAAAAATGCACTATCGACATTTGCCATATTCAGACTAGTAAAATGACGTTGTTTTGACTGCGTTTGATGTATAATTTTAATTGTAAATTCACAATTTTCCCTTTGTTTCACCCTTCAGTAAACCGCCATTTTGAAATTAGTATCATTACGTTATTTCATCTATACGCTGTCGTTGATTGGCTATGAGCACCCTTACAAACTTCCGGTACGCGCGCGATAGTAATTCGCAGATACAAAAAACATGCTGACCAGGTGTTTGTCAGATAAATTCCGTTATTTTAAATTTGACTTGCGCGTACGTATTTACTGTAAGGTACAAACTTTACAAATATATTGGGCCTTACTTGTATGCCTTATCTGTCGTAAACATGCTAAATGTTTTAAAAGAAATTCTAAAACAGAATACAAAGCTTTCACCCAGCTAAAGCAAGAGCACAGTATAGAATTTTATTTAAATTTGATCATATTTCACTGGGGGAAACAATCGATTGCAAATAAATTAGTGTACATGTAACGTATGTGTAACGTGTCTGCGTTTGCTTAATAAAGCAAAGTGC